CCTCGAGGATGACGGTAAAAGGTATGTGAAGATAGCCACCCCTGCTTCAGTCGTCGAGATCTACTACCTGATCCAACAGCTATAAGGGAAATCTGTGCAACTAACAGGGATACATAGATCCCTGAGTGGCATCCATATCTATCAAATGGCAACTGAGCTTTCGACTCACAATTTCTCGGAGGTAAGGTAGATCTAACATGAAGGGGTGGGGGGTTAGGCACTGTCACTCAGTTGTGTTCATATATGAGCTACGTGGTTGTGTGTGTGTGTTACTCCTATGTTGATGGCCCGCAGTAGTAACCCTTAGTAATCGACTGTGGAGCATAGACTTTCTACAGCTTGAATCAAGTTCGTTTGTGAACGAATGAAAATAAACCACAGAATCTCAAGCGACATGAAATGATGCGAAAAGTAGTCGACTCACTTCGCACAATCCAACAAACAGTCCAGAATCAGTCGCGGCTCGTCCCAATGCTCGAAATGTCCAGTCCCACTGGCGATCATGGGCACTGATTCACCAGAAGGCAATGTGAATTCCGGGATTCCACCGATTGCGCTTGTGGGTTGGGGATTAATTGAATTGATAATCCCTTCTGATTCTACATATTCTAAACCGCATAACGCTGAACTTCCAGGCGATCCATCCGATCGCGCGTCCGCAGGCATAGTGGACAGAGTGACCAAAGTAAGACTAGCCTGACGTCGTGCAAACACATCGGAACGCCAGTAGGCCAACAAAGCGGCACAAACTGGATGATAAGTGGACATTGAACAGTCAGTATCACCATTGCTTCCGGATGGAGAGGAACAGATCGATTTATAGCGGGATTTCGAGGTTTTTGGCGATTCGTCAGTAATAGACGCCGGATTTTGCCGGAGCCAGTTAGGAAACTGTCGATGAATTGTGTGCACTGCACGAATGGCCAGATGTCGAGGACAGGAGGCGGTCAGAGGGGTTCCGACTCGGGGTAGCCAATAGCGTGCAGAGGCAGATACTGATTATGAAAACAAGGAAAAGTGTATTCATTTTATTGACGAATGGCACTCTGATATAAAATCGATTACGAACAGCTACCGGAAACAGTATTTCGCAAAGTGATGTCCAGAAAATTTCCACCAAGCAAAAGAAGTACAAACGTTGTCACACACACACACAAGACCATCGTGCTGGGTACAACTAACTTGAAACAACTATCATTTTTCGTATGCAATGAGAAAATGCCACGCTAGACAACGATTTTGGTAAACAGCAGCATCAATCAGTGAGAACTAAGCCACGGCGGCATAGAAACAGATGACGTGGAAAAGATTATTTCCATTATATCGAACTGGTATCGAACAGCCATCACGATGAAACTGCAAATGGACGTGGTGTGATGGCTTGCGTGCCTCCATGACCCTGCGAGCTACACAGAATGGCTTTTCACAACCAGAGATCCAATAATGCCTGAAAGCTCAACGGGTAGAGGCCAGGTGAAGCTGAGTCTCACAAAGCCAGCTGCTTGGGCACCCCCTGGCTTTTTCCTTCTATACACACCAGCCCCTGGAGAGGCCACTCCAGTAAATAAACACGGCGAGGGGCAGTTTACCGGTCACAAAACCCCCGCTAGATGGACGTAGGAGCGGGGTACCTGGGGCTTCCTCTCGACGGTGGGAGAAGTCTTCGCACTTCATTGGACAGCTACCGCCCGCCCAAGC